TTTGCTGCCAGTATATTGCTTCAGGACCACACCTGGCCTGTCTCCCCACTGCAGGTGGTGTAACAACATGCCTGTGTTGAGATCTGTTCTGAGCATCTTGGCAATCAGCAAAAAAAGCAGTAGAGTATTTTACACCAGTAAAGTGGTTTTTGAAGCACCCTCTGTCACCTCTGCAAAGGGAAAGGCGTCCTGTGCACAGGTAGCTGGCAAGCACGGGTGGTGCTTCAGCAGGTGAACCAGGAAGACATGGCATTTGAAGGGGGTGGCTCTCTTGGCATTTGTGAAGTGTTGCCTCCTTAAAACATTTATTATATTCTGGTTGTTTCCCTTAGCAGGCTAAGCCAGACCAGTGAGACAGACGTGCATTCGAATTAGCTTGGGGATTCTGCATGCCAGCCTGATGTAAGATGTTAGTTTAGACTGCTGATGAAGACAGAATTTATCTGCATTCCTTTTAGATGTCCAGCTGTTATCTCCTGAGAGGAGAGGAGTCAAATGCCTAGGAAAAACAATCATGTGTCACCCTGTTCAACTGGAAAAGTCAGAGAGGGGAGTGAGGGATGGTGCTGGGTTCATGACAACAGGAGGATATCAGGGAAGGAGTAGGAGTGGAGTGTGGAATGGGAAGTACCTTCCTTTCAAAGTAGAGGCCTCGAAGATAGCTAAGATAGCTATGGACCGTGCAGGAGGTACCTTCCCTCCCTCCCCTTCCCCACCCCTGTGGCCTGGGCCTGCTCTTCCAGCATGGATAGCTCTGCCAGGAATTCTCTGTCGCCCCGGGCTGGCTGCTGCTGGTCCTGCTACATCAAGGCTTTGTGCCTGCAGAGCTCAGGGGTAGGTGCTGGGCTGAACCTGGTCATCCCACTCCTCAGGAAGAGCCAGGATTTGAAGGGATCTGCCCACAGCAGATCTCTTTTGATGGGTAAGAAGATGTGTCCTAGGAATGGCAAGAGTTCTCTGCCTGGCTGTGGGAAAGTTTCTCACCCCTTCATTTGGAGAGAGCTCATTGTTCCTCTTTTGCTTCAGATTTGGCAAGAGCTGTGGTGCTCTTGACCCCAGGGCAGAGGGCTGGTAGCTTTCACAAGAAGGGGAGCTAGCTGGGTGCTAGCTCCAAGCCAGGGGCAGAAAAATCAACTTTCTGCGTGCCAGAGAAGAGCAGCTTCCCGTTTGCAGCACTGGGGAATTTTCAATGAAATCAGCAAGAGCAGGAAAATCTGGGAAGACTTCTGGCACATGAAACCTGAACATGTCTAGAAAAGCCCAGACAGGAGGGAAAATATAAGGTGCTCATGACCTTGCTTACATTACAGTGTGCGAAACATGGTGTCAGTGTGTGGAGGCAGAAACAGTTTCCTTTATGGCCCTGGCAGAATTCTTGCTGTCCAAAGTGGCAGCATTGAAACCAGAGAACACTAGTTAGCCCCTTCCTATTCAGCCATCCTGAAGCAAAAAATCCTTGAAAACCACTATGCAACTGCCCACTGAGTGTTTTGATTGTGAAAATACCAAACAAAAGTCTTTATTACCAGCATATTAGGCATTTCACTGAAAATAGTGGTTTTAGCTGATGTTATAGGCTGTAGGCCCTGAATACATTTATTCTGAGCCTTTCCCTGGAAAGGGAGCAGTCAGGAATTTCCCCAGCTGACTTCTCAGCAGCAGGGAGCCCTTGTGCTGGAAGTGAGCTATGCCCTCAGATCACAGGCTCGTTCCCTCTTCTGGGAATACTTGCTCATTTTCCCTGCGTTCATGAAGTGTCGTGGCTGTGTTTTTTGCAGCCCCAGCTTGCAGTAGCCAGTTGGAGGAGGAGCTGTTGGGATAAGGAGCAGTCCAATAGAGTGGGAGTCAGGGGCTCACAAAATTTGTGTTCTCTGAAAAAGACTTCCCCTTCCCTCTTCCCATCAAAATACACAGATACGTGCTTTCTTGGGACACTCAGAGGTCCCCCTGGGGCACAATAGCAGTGTGAGTTTGGTGTATCTCTTTCCATGAGAGTTTGGATCTTGGGGTCTGGAAGACTGTCTGGCAGCAGCAGACTCTGCCTACATCAACAGAATGTTCCATATGTCTGTCACATCAAGTGCAGTTCCATCCCTGGCAACTTCGACATGTTCTCATTGTAGAGACGTGGTTCATATGCAAAATTGAAAATATTCTGCCATATTCAGCCCTGTAGTGGCTGATTTTTCACAGCTTGCAGTCAGGGAAGTGCTGTGGTGCTGGAAATCCCCTTAGGACAACACCTCAGGATTCTGTATAGCTGCTATTCACTGCCTAACTACACAGTCAGTTTTAAGGAAAAACAAGTGTGGACAATTTCTGGCCAAACTGAGGTGATCAGTGATTGAAACTGAGGGAAGCAGGGGGAGTAACCACTGTGAGGCACGGGGTTCTTACCAGCCTGTGACCTAAAGCTCTGAGGTCTCTCAGCTGCTGCTCAAACAGAAGATATGGCACCCTGGGGAAAACCTTACATGTTTTAGTGTGTAATAGTCATTAACCCTGTGCATCTTCATTTCCCAGAGAAACCCAAGGTGTTTGCTCTGCATTTGCTGTTGCTGCTGCGTGTGGCTCCTCAGGTGTGACTTGTTCTATGAAATGTCTCTTGAAGTAAAGATATTTAGATAGGCAGTTTTAAAATTGTAAAAGGGTGTAAAAGTAGATCCCTATGTGTTGTTTTTTTTCAGATTTTTGAAATATTTCAGCACATGCAATCAAACCACCAGTTGCTTTCCATGAGATTAAGGTTGAGTAGGTATTATCTAGTGCTGTTTCACTGACTGCAAGACATACTGAAAAGCCAAAAGAAATACATGTATTTTACTGGTGCCAGTGTAAGTTTCAGTCATCTATAGATTTGAAATGTTACCCACTGTTTCCTGGTTCAGAAGGTTCAGAACTGGCATCTGAAAGTTGTTTAAGTAGCTTGAACAGAGTGCTTACCACTCTGCTGGCTCTGTGTCTTTGACAAGCATCAAGACAAGGATGTTTTAGACCAAATATAAAGAAATATATTTTGATGTTTAGCTGAGTTTGGGCTGAACAGGGCTGGTTGAAAGGTGTGAGTGAAAAACAGACAAAAGGTGATATCATTGTTTTATCAGGTAACAGTCACCATAGCAACCAAACTTTACCATGCATGAAAAGTTCCTCAAAGTCTTTCTACTGTGTTTCTTTTCCATGCAGCTCTTGTTACAGCAGGTGTGTGTGAAGGAGTTTAGCTTCAGTGAACTGTGGCTCTACAGGGCTCTTTCACATGGGACTGTGTGCAGTGTTTCCACAGCAACACCTTTTCCTGGACATGATGTTAAATCAACCTCACATGATTTTGAGATTTCTCTGCCCATCTAAACCTGTGCATGTTTATTCCACTGGACTTGCTGTTCACACTAGGTTGTTATGCTGGAATTGGTGCTACTGAGCCTTCCCCTGAGACTCTGGATGTAGCAGCTGTTGGAGCAGAGAAGCACCAAATTTACCCTCCTCTGCTCTGTCATATCAGTAGTACGATGCCACAAATGCATTAGGTCTGGCCTCTGCCACATCTGATCTTTTCTTGTTTGTGCTCTGGTTCTTTTACTTCTTGTTTTCTTTGCAGAAAACAGATTTTGGCTGTAGACTGTGCTGAGCATTTCTGACTACTGAGATAGAATATAAAAATTAAAATTTACCTTTGGGATGGATGGCAGTGAACTTCTAATTGCAAGGGAGAAATATTGTGTTACTTGAAAGCAGAGGGTGTGTTCCTTCAATGAAGGGACGTACAAAGAATACTGATGATTCTTCATCAACAAGGGCCCTCTTATGTCCTTTTCCATTTGGCTGGTAACCCAGCTCTGGAGTCTGTTGGGATAGACTGCTAACTTGGAATATTTCCCCAGCTGACTTTGTGAAAGCCCTTCTGTTGCTGCTGGAGCTGGGCGCTGTCCCTCTCTCCAGTGATAAAAGGCTGCCATATCCAGGCCTTCCTGGGAACTGCATGCTGCAGAGCTGGGATTCCAGGAGGATCCCTGTGGTCTCTGCAGAGCTGGGGAAGCTTGCACAAACTTCAGGGTATTAATTCCCATTGGGCTTATATGGGAGCTGGCAGTTGTCTTGTTATTGAGGTGAAAACAAGCGTGCTCATGTAGAAGCACTGCAACAAAGCAGGAGGGAGAGGTGGAACACTGTAGAGTGGTTCTAGGCAGCAAAGCACAGACTCCTTGTAAACACACAAAGTTCCCTCGTGTCAGATTTGATGTTGCAAAATCTGTGTCCCAGTTGAGCCCAGCTCCATGTCATTCTTAAAACACTTTTTTTTCCTTTTTTTTTACCCCCTTCTAAATCTTACATTTTTTTCTCTGGGCTATCTGTGCAGAGTTTGGGTCACAGAGAAAAACTCCTGGAACAGTCCCATGTGTGTGTAGGTGTGGGCTGAGCAGGCATCAGCCATCAGCTCTGGAGCAGGGAGCTCCCCAGGAAGAAGCACCTGCCTCATGCCACGTGCTTACCTGGGAAATGTGTTTTAAACCCAGCTTAATCCCCCAGCTGTAATGCTTGCTCCTGCCCAGAACTTCTATCTTGTTCACTTTTTCTTTCCCTCATAGAGATACTTGTAAGTTGAAAATGTTACAAGATACTTTATTTCTATTTTGTCACACTTTGTGTGATTAGCTTTTGGTTCAGAGTTGGTGAGTAAGTATGGATATTAGCTATTTATGTATCTTATATCTTATTTATTAGTGTGATTCAATGCATACAGCATCATGATCTACCAGAGAAGTTAGTTTACTCTTTGGTCTGCTATTTCTCTGATCGTGAATTCTAAAATGGTGAATGTTATAAATACCAATCTTTGGAAAAGTTTAATGTAAGAACTACCTCTTTTATTATCCTAGTAATAGTAAGGAAAATATTTGCAGCATGTCAAGCCAGCACAGGACAACTGTTGATACACTTCCAAGCTGAAGTACTATTTCTGTTTTGAAAATCGTTTTCTACCTCCTTTTCTCCTGATCCAGGGAGAAGAAACTGAAAGCAAGAGTGCAGGAGTTAGTGAGTGCTTTGGAGAGACTCACAAAGAGCAGTGAAATCAGACATCAGCAGTCTGCAGAATTTGTTAATGACCTTAAAAGGGCAAACAGGTAAAGGATCTACCAGCAGATGGATGCATTATTGGTTTATTTTTGCTGTGTTCCTGTAAAACACTAATATTCCACTTACCTTAATGAGAAGTTTCAGGACCCTCATGTTCGTCCAAATGTCAACACTCCAGGGTTATAGTTAGAGAAGGGGGAGGTACAAACCTCCCATGCAGGCCACTGACAACTACGTAGTTAAGAAGAGAAAGCAGGGAAATAGATTAATCTCAATTGAGTTTCTAGTAGTGATTGCACAATTTAAAAAGCAAACAAAAATATTTATGAATCTGTTACTTTGTTTTTAACTCCTCCTTTTTCTTTGGCTCCAACCTCTTTATTAATAAAATGTCTTGGATGATCACACCTGAGTTCCATTGCTCACTCAGGGCACTTTTCTTGTACTGTATTGGGATGGCCTAGGAATATGGTGGACTGCAGCTGCCCTTCCTGCAAGCAGCCTCTGACTCACAATGTGGTTTTCCTTAAATTGCATTTAAAAGCCTTTGTGGTGAGAAGCAGCACCATCTCAAACTTTCCAGCCCAGTCAAGGTGGAGGCACAGAAGCTACTCAACAGCTAGCAAATTAGCACAAGATGCCGTCCTCTGAACGTAAATCTTACTTCTTTAAAATGAAAAATGCAGAATCAGTCCTTGACTTTCTAAGCAGTTTCTGGCCATGCAATGTTTTTATAAATCACATCTGATGTTGTGGTATGATCTTCACTCATAAACAGTGGTATGTATGAGAGGTCATCAACAGCAACCTCCATCTGTCTCTTAGAACCATATTTAGTTTTCTTTACCAGTTTACTGGAAAAGGTATGTGCTTGCCCCAGGAAAGACACAGACATGAGCATTGATCTGGGTTTGGATCAGAAAGGTTTGGATCTAATCCATTTTAGAGCACTGGTAAATGCTGGGAAGGGGATCAGTACTCAGCCTTTGAAGTTCCCTGAAGGTGGGTCTTTGGGGTAGATTTTTTGTAGCACTTACTCTGAAACAAGCCTTGTTTGAATTACCTTGTATGCCTTGTGTTTTTAACAGCAACTTGGTAGCAGCTTATGAAAAAGCAAAGAAAAAGCATCAAAACAAGCTGAAGAAATTGGAATCACAAATGATGGCCATGGTGGAGAGACATGAAACCCAAGTAAGAATGCTCAAACAAAGAATAGCTTTACTGGAAGAAGAGAACTCCAGACCACACACCAATGAAACTTCACTTTAAGTGCATCTCGTTGAAGGATGCTTAGTGCCATTACAACTTTCTTTCTTTTGGAGGTTGACTTTTAGGTAGCTTCAAATGTTAAAAGCTCTGATTGTCAATGCTGACAAAACTTAAAAGCTCCTTCTCTGGGATCCCAGAGAGGTAGCATGGGGATAATAAAAGTGTTAACCTTAAGGACTGTTTCACAATGTAAAATGGCAGTGCCTGAATTATCATGCTATAATTGTGTTCATTGTCTGTGTTGTTATGTCTGTATTCATACAGCTTCTCTTTCCCTGTCACCCATGGGTGACAGTGTCACACAGCAGAATAATTCATGTTAAGAGGTTTTCATTTGGGTAGTTTGGAGATTATGTGAAGTTTTCCCAGTCCCTGAGCTCTCTGCACACAAGTCCACAGTACCCTCATGACTCGCTGCTGTGGTTACACCACCAAACAGGCAGCTGCAGAGTGGGGGTGACAGCCTGGCTGGCTTTTTCTTTTCGTCCTGCCTGCAATTCTGTTGCTCACAGTGCAGGTCAGGTAGGAAAATTCCTGTTGGTTTGGGAAAAAAACAAAGAAAGCATAGTTGCATCTCTGAGAATTATGATAAAAGTGTAATTCTTACAGTGCATACAATGGCCAAAGGCTGTGGGTTTCACCATGCCACACAGACACTCTGTGCCAAGGGTGGGTAAGAAATTACAGAAGACCTCCTGGTATTTATATTGCATGGTGTTTGCAACTACTTTGTAGAAAAAGTTGTTTTTTCTTGCTATATACACTCTATCCAAGGTTTTCTTTAAGAAGCTGGGCCATTTTTGTCATGTGTGTTGTGCTTCTTACAACTTACTGTGATCAAGAGGTAGAATGTCTTCTTTTTATCCTTTTTTTTTGACCAAAAAAAGGTACTTAAATAATGTACCTGTTTAATATTGAATACATAGGCACAAAATTATAGATGTGTAGATGTATGAATATCCAGCCACAAACAGAATGTGAATGGTGAAGTCTTACAGTTTTCTTAGGTTAGTTTTTGTTACTGCTAACATTATCTTGTTTAAATCATGTATTACTGTATTATCAAACTGACTGAAGTGCAAATTTTGGCTTGTTAGGTAAATGAACATTAAGCAAATCATGGGGATCAGGTTGATTTCTGTAGGGATCAAAATACAGGAGTCTGCCATAGCACCTGTTATATTCAGAATTTGCTTTTTTTTTTTTTTTTTGTTTTGTTTTGTTTTGGGTTTTTTTTTTTTTTTTGACAGAGTATGTAAAAAAGCTTTATGTGTGTTTTAAAAAGCCAAGCTATAGTCCCTTCACTGTGTTAGCCTACTGCTGTGTTATGCCTCTGCTTTGCATTTTCCAGGCTGATTTTCAGTGAATCTGATTTCAGGAGATGTTTATCGTTTTTGCTTTACATGTTGAATTGCACCTCAAGTTTTTTACTAGTGTATTTAGAATTATGATAACTTTTCTCATTTATTCCTCCCATTACTAGTACTAAGGAAATATTTGAGAGAACTCTGCCTACTGTTGGGTTAGGTCAGACAACATAGTTGCAGGAATTTGTGTTCAGAATGTGGCATTATTGTTAAGTCTTGGTTACATCTGGAAGTGCAGCAGTTGGTTTTCCATCTCTTACTGCTGTAGCTGCTGTTGTCTTCTGTCCTTAGAGTAGTTGTTCCTACTTCTCTTGAGTCTAGTACATCATCCACAAAGCCAGCATCACATGTGGTTGATTGCAACAGCAAATTAAAACAATGCTGATTTCAAAATTTTTAGGTAGTGATGTTCTGGTTTTTATCAGTCCTCTTTCTCAGAATAATTGCACTTCTTAATTTATAATGTGACTAGAAATTATTGCAAATGAGTTTCTTGAGGGAGGAGATTGATTTTTTCTGTCTCTGTGGTTCTGCTTAGCAGTTCTCTATGGTGTTTCCCCTTTTTAGGCCCAATTTTCTCATGCCCCGGAGGGTGGGGGTTTGCCATCAGCTTCAGCAGCTGAGCACACTTGTTCTGAAGAACCACAAAGGAAAGTATCCACCATGTGCTGTGGCAAAAATGTAGTTACACTTTTGTCTTCCAGCATCTGAAACACCCATGTGACTTGAAGTCACTTCAGAATGTCCATGTGAAATACCTTTCACTGGAGAAGACAGGAACCATACTGCACTGAGCTGCCTCTTAGGCTCATTTTTCCCCCTATTTAGATTAATGGAGTTACAGGATGGTTTGGGTTGGAAGGGACCCTAAAAATCATTTTGTTACAATCCCTTTCTGTGGGCAGGGACATCTTCCACTGGACCAGGTTGCTCCAAGACCCATCCAACCTGGCCTTGGACATTCCAGGGATGGGGCAGCCACAACTCCTCTGCACAACCTGGGCCAGTGCTTCAGTGCCCTCACACGGAAGAGTTTCTTCCATAAGAAATTCAGATACTCTTACACAGAAGCTGCAGCCTCAGTGTTTTTTCCAGGCCTGACAATTTGCTGATTATTTCACTACATTTAGCACAAATCATCTGTGCCAGCTGTGCTCTAGAAGTGCATTAGAATTATAAATCATCAGTAAATGTAAACCAGTCCCATTTTTTCCCCGTAAGGGTTGTAGATGTAAAAGCAGCACTGGTACCATCCAGCCTCAGCAGTAGCCATAGTTTGCCAGACCACCAGTTGATTTATTTGCCTCAGCAAGCAGCTACTGCATCTGGGAAGTGGTCATAGGCTTAATGTTGCTGTGAAAACTGTTCATTAGTTATAATCAGCTTCAGCTCCAGTGTACCCCATTCAAATGGCACCAACCCTCAGAAAAAATGCCAAAAAAAACTCAAACTCCTTTTATGCAACTCTGAAGTACCAGCACACCAGAAATACCTGAGTGTGCAGTGCAGAGTTACAGCAACTTAACTCTCTTAAAGCTTGTTGCAGAAATAATAAATTTGCAAAGCAAGAAAAAAAGGTGATTCCTGCCAACCTAAGTCCATTCATGAATTAATGAGTGGACGTTTTTTGATTTTCTTAAGTCACCAGAGTGCATGAAATTTTTCTATTTCACTGAGTGCTTAGAAAAAAAATCACTTTTTTTCTAATTCTATGTGTAAATCTTCACCAGCTTGAATGTACTGTTAGCTTTTGCAAAACACGTGTGACTAAGTTTGCATTCATGTCATGTTCTACTGGTTTTGTTACTTTTCTCCTCCTCCAGTATACTGCACCATGAATTGTAACTTTAGAAACTTTTCACCTTACTGAATTAGCTTTAAATGTGTTGCTACCTTTTCGTTTCCAAGCAGCTGTAAAATAGCTATTTTGCGTTCATTTGATATAGAATTATAAAAACTGCATTTATTTATACAGAGGCATTTATAACACTTATTTTACAAATGTTCTTATATTCTGAATAAATTTCTAATGCTGTTTCTTTGCGTTGGGAGTTGTTTCACTGTGGCTTGTCACCTTGCTGTTGAATGGGACTGCATAAAGACACCTTGGCACAAAGATCTCTCATCTCCAAGCTAAGTTACTGAGGGAGATGGTTTGACATTGTCAGTAAAGTTCACTTAACAGAGCCATGAAAAGTTGTTAAGAACTCAGATATGGCCACAGGTTTTTGAACATCAATTTAGTAAATCTTCAATGAACCATTTATGGAAATGGAAGGGCATGTGTGAAACTGTTACCACAGGTCCAATTCTTTTAATAACAAGTTATATAGACCAAAACAAAATGAAAACAAAATACTCAATCTTACATAAAATATCTAAAAGCACTGATTAAAGTTTAAATACTTCTTTCTTCTGTTTGTCTAACACTTTTTTTTTCCATTGTGTTGAATGGCATCCACCTTTACAGCTGACTTCAAAAAATAACTTCCTCTCCTGGCTAGAGGAGATATAATCACTGCTGGCTTAAGGCAACACATAAACACTCTACAGTGAAAGAATAACCTGCACCAGCAGCAGAGGCATCACATTCCACAATGAACTGCAATCCTTATATTCATACTTCATTACTTCAATACGTTTATTTATAAAGTAATTTAATTTTACAGAGGAAAAAATAACAATATAGAAGAAAATGTTAACTTAGTCATAGTCTTCTAAATGGTGTGCTTCAGTTTTGAATCAATTTATAACAAACAAAATCACAATCGTCAGTACAGTAGATGTTACAGGTAGTTACAGATTCTACTTAATACAATTGAAGAGCTGACTAATGCAGACTTTCTTCAAAAAACATAATGGAAGTTGTATAAAATCTGTAATGATTTTAACTCTTTAGCTGTACATATTTTCTTCTTAATGAGCACGATGTGCCACTTACACACAGAGGAAAACAGATCAAGTTCTTGAGCTTTAACAAACAGGAAGACATAACTCTTCATGCCTGAGCCACAGCACAAAGCACTGGCTCCTGTTTTCTGTGAGGCATGCAGTGCTGCCCTGAAAAGTGTCATCGTTTGGAAGCAATACCCAAGTCTGGGTCGTGGAACATGAACACTAGTAGAGCATTCTGCCTGAATTAACAACCCCACACCTTCTGGGGGGGGTCTGTTTTGCTTTTTAATGGTAAAAGTGCCTTGCAAACCCAGCTAAACTGCTCCTCAGGGATGAAGTTAAACTTCCACATAGTGCAGTGCCATGCAGACACAGTAAAGTTCTGTTGCAAGTATTGGCGTGAGAAGTATTTGCTGAGAGCTCTTTATCATGCAGTTTTCCATACATTTTCTGCATAACAAAATTATGTACCCAACCAGTAAGATACAAATTTCATCCCCACAGTTTAGTAATTTTGATCAAACATGCTTAAAAAAATTTGCAGAGTTCTTCTCACCATTGGAAATGTGTCATAGAGAACTGTGTTTGCAGGATGTGTTTTCTTAAAAAGCTATGAATGCCTTACTTTAAAATGATTAATGCTCCACGAGCTGTAATCATTTTCTTAAAGGCACTGAACTGTAACCCATACTGGAAACAAGAAGCTAGTTCTTCTGATCAACAGTATAAATGCTGAGAAATTACAAAATACTCTGTTTTCAGTACAATACATAGAGACCTTTCCAAATTTAAACATTCTGTACTCTCTGAACTGTTAACAATTACTTAAAAGGAAGCTTTTTTTTTTTCTGGAAGAATTGATGGAGGACTCAAGGACACTTTTGACTTCCCAAAAGCAGCCAGAGCTGAGAACAGTTTAAAGATAAGGGTTTCTGTAAAGCTGAATCTGTACAAAAAGTTAAGTCTTGCCAAACCTAACATTTTCAATGGAAAGACAAACCCCAAGTATGTTGTTTTATTGTACTGCTACCAATCTGGAATAGTTCCTCTGGTACAATCTTGAATATGGCCAATGTCATTCTTGTTTAATGTTGACTTCCTTTTAAGTTCACAAGCTACATGAAAAAGTGAAATGCACACACAGCACAAAACCTACCGCATCTATCAGTGCTTACGTATGGGATTAAGAACAGTGCAAATACTAGCATTTAGCCTATTTCCATTC